GACTATTTATTGTCCAGAGTTTCCAACCAAACTCAATAAGTAATAAAAAAATTGGTTGGTTGGATCCGATGAAATTCAAATTCATGACCCTATGATCAATAAACGACCCCGTCGTACCTAAAGTTTATTAGTTAAGATTTGTTCTCGTTTGTCTTGCGCAAGACTAGGTAATCTTTCTCGTATCTATATTCGCTGTATTAATTTTATTAGTCTATAAACTATTACAATAAAACGTAAGATCTATCCGCTCGTCCCTTGCACCCGGTGCGAGTCAGAATGCAAGCTAAGGCACTTTATTATCGGATTTTGTAAATGTACATATGCACAGGAATGAGCACATATTCCGAACTGCATAAGTTTAGCAAATTTTTATATATTTTCGGAGGTTGTCTAGTAATTCTCATTATTCTTCTATACCAGAATAATATAAATATATTTTATGAAAACACTAACTGCTTGTTTGTCTACTATGTAAGATAGGTACAATGTCATTTCTGGCCATTAATTGGAGGCTCAAGAGAAACAAAAAGGGGAGTTGACGCAGAGCCTTGGCTGGCGCCCAATCTTCATTACCATAGCCCCAGGCTTAGTGAAACAAGTGCAATGACATCCTTTTATTCATCAACATTTTCACTAAAGACCATTTAACTGAATGAAACGCCAATTTCTATTCGGAACAAATGCAATACGGCAATTTAAAACCTAATTGAATACCTCCAGGTCGTAAATTAAACTTAGCTTTAATTTTTTTTTCTAGTAATAACGTTCCTAACCTTTGTTATATTGAACGAAAAGACGTCATACGTGATTTCACGCTTTTTAATCTAACTAGTCTCCGAAATCTGGATATTAGATTTCCGGTTTCACTCTGTGGATTTCCGAATACCCAAAATAAGTGCGACAGCGCATTAAATGGGGTGTTTCACTTTCCATCAATTAAACCTCATGTTTGTCTGTCCTATTCTATCATGAAAACTGTAAGGAGTATGCTTCAGTTTGCATTTGATACCAGTTAGTGCTACTGATCGTATTGGTTTTCGCGAGAAAAGTGCGACGAGTCTAGACCTAAAGTGAGAAATCAATAGCGATGTACGCTTCTTATGAGCGTTTCCTTTAGATATCAGCTCTTATATTAAAATAAGTATACGTTCTCACTTTTCGTAGTGCATAACCATTGAATGTTTAAGCTATAAAACTCGCCAAACGACTTAAAAAATAGAGAGACTATTACAAAAAAGTGCACTGAAGTAAGCATCCTAATGTTGATCGGGATCAATAAAGCAGAAGCTAATAACCCGTTATTGTTATAAAAACCTTCATGGTTCTAATAAGAAAACCAGTCAAGTGTCTACAGATTCTTATGCTCTACAATCTGCATCATTGGAGAGTCTTGACCGTGACCTTGTCACTTATTATTTATAATAAACACGAAAACAACACGGAAGAAAGACTTTCGTATATTTTGTTATAGAATATTTTCAGTACTGTTATTATAAGCTAAAGAATATATATGATATTAATTTCTTCTCTATTCATAAGCGAAACATAGATGGCCGTATCAATGGAATAATAGCTATTGTCTGTTAGGAGTTATACTTGTATTAGCGATAGAATTGTTTTTATTTATGCAGACGATAGTTATATGGGTGCTTGCACTTAATATGCGTCTCATGAACGATGAGATGCGTAAATGTTGCGAAGAATTAGCTACGAACAGCTTGTTTTGTTATACGACGTTGTTTTTTAATAGTTTTATATAAGAATCGGTAAGAATTGGTAGGGTTTTCCATGTTTACTACACAGAATTATAAATATTATACACCTATTAGAGAATAAGCAACCCGACACAGCTAGTACCTAAAACTTAAACTGCTTAAAACGCGAAATATAAATTAATATAATATACATCTCATTCGAGTTTTAAACGATTCATATGTTTTATTTAAATGGTATCAGTTATCACCAAGCAAGTACTAAATGGGTGTAAATAAGTTTAATATGCAATCCCCCTTTGGTAACCATTACCATACGTTGCCCTTTTGGTGATGTGAGCATACCTACTTAGTGAGCAGCGCCAAATTGCAATCTCGCTACACGTAGCTTTAACACAATTACTTAGCTATTAACGAACTCTGCTCGAAATAATTACTAAACTTGCACACTCTAAACTCTAGCTAGATAAGGATAGTATTAAAAATTTGCATTACAAAGAATTCGTAGATTAAAAGCAATTTTACAGTTGCGATAAAGGCAGCGTTTATTCGTCGTCTTTTTGAGACCTTTTAGGTACTTATAATACCTAGACAAAGGTTTATTTTTTAATTACTTTTTTTTAAATCTGTCAATTGTATTGTATATTTGATCATTTTTTAGGTATGTTATTTGTTTGCTCAAAATATAAAACATTAATTTAACAAACAGAATAAATAAAAAAATTATCCTAAACTTTAAATTAGTCTCTATAACAAAGCCACGAGAGTTTCGTTTTAAAGAGCATGCTATAACGTACGTAAATATACCGTATATTTACGTACGTTATAGCATGTATATATTATGTACTTAATAGCCCTAAAATAATTTCATAATTTAACCAAAGTCCTGCAGGCCGGTAAATGACAGTGCTCTTATAATCAGCATAATTTGATCAATTCGCAAATGGCAAAGGCAACAGCCCTGTGCATAAATTACCCGTTTCCCGATAATTGCATAATAAATAACGTTCATCTATCAGGGCCGCAGCGTGCGAGAGGAAATAGAGCAATGATTGCTCGACTCTGCCTTGCCGTGTCTCCGTGTATTTTGTACTGAGGCATTAATTGTTCGATACGCTACACTCTAGCTTTTTAAAAATGCAGCCTTGATTTTCTGGTGGTAGGTAATGTATTTGTTGGCCTTAATATGTATGCCGGGTATGTACTAATTAAATGGCTTGTGTTAAAAATTAATGATAATAAACAAAATGAGCAATCACATTTGAAGTTTAACACGAGAGACCTTGACATAAATATGAAAATCACTGCTTACTGCAAAAATTAAATTAAAACTTAGTCTGAATAATTTGAAGGTTTTATAGGTGATATAGATAAATTAAAATTTCAAAGTATGCATTAGGACTCACAAATAAACAAAAGCATTTCTAGCCAATTCTTTTGGTCATATAATCACATCTCCAATGATTGAGGACATGTATTTGGTTTTATTATGGTTTCTAGTCAATTTATATGATTTATTAGTATAACTTGTCGTTATCTTTTAATAGAGAATGTTTTTACACAAATAATAATACGAACAGATAGTTCCTATAAATTTATATAGTTTATGGAATTATATATGGAACAATCCGCCACCTACATAAGGCTGACATAAATAAATAATATTTATAAATGTAAATTGTCAATTGTCACCTCGATTAATTAAAATGAGAGAAACTCTTGTAACATTTTACTAACTAATTTTCTTGAAGAAGAATCACTATTACTATCAATAATTTTTAGATACAATGCTAGTGAAAATTATTCTTCTTACAATATTCTGTGGCCTTCTTTTTATTTTTATGTGTATTTGAAATTTCGTACTTACAAGTTGTAACAAAAATTTTATTTATTTTGGATTTTGGATCATAAAAAATACTGTTCTTCATTATTGTATTCAAAGAATATAATTCAATAATATTCTTTAAGATCTAGAACCATATCTGTTTACTGTTTACTAAAGATTACAACTTGACTGACAAGTAATGTTAATTTAGAGCTATCAAAACAAAGTCGTCGCGGCCGGTGTATACGCTCTCACGATCGATTAAAGTAATAAAGATTGCTTAGAAAATAAGTAGGCAGGATCTATACTCAAGCAAATCACGTCAATGCTATCAAAATCGGTGAGTTTGAAGGATTTGAACAATAATATTGTTTGTGTGCTCTCTATGCAATAACCTATCTTACACGAATCTAATTCGAATTATAAACTAAAAATAATACCATGAATATAACTTAGTACGTACCAGATGCAAGACGGTGTTCACCACCTCACGGTTAGTTACCTGTCCGACTTCTATCAGCCCGATAAGAACTGCAAATTTCAGCCTATCATTAGTCGTCATTCGGACGACTTCTTCAGGTCTTTTTATATCACTATAAGGCGGTGATTTTATATCCGCCATGGTTTATTTCGTCACAATTCACTTATCCACAAATACAGAAATCACTCGCGATGATAAATTTCAAGAAAACATAATTACATCGGCTCACATGATAACGCACCGATGTCGCTTTCTGCCATTTTGGAATAATCAGTGTTGCTAACTTACACTGATCTTGGTCGTCTCCCATTTAACATACAAAAAAATATTTAATTATATTAAATATTTTATCGCATTAATGATTGTAATACAATGTTACAATTCAATTGATAATTTTTTTCTATAGAAAATGAATCAATTTGGTGAGATTTTTTAATTTCACTTAATTCTACACCCATTTCTGATATTGTTCGCAAGCAATGGATTATAGAAATCATCCTTTAACTACAAAATTTAAAAGAAATTTATAAGATGCTTTAGTTTTCGTATTATTGCAATTAAAAATAGTGACAAGTAAGATCTGCTCAATTTTGACATCTTCCCTAAAAAGTGGTAAAGTTCAAAAGATGGTGATACATTGAATTGTAATTCTGCCAACATAACAAATCTAAGTTAAGAAGTCAATAGTGTCTTTTTCTTTTCAAAAATAAAAATAGTACTAAGATAAAACGTAATTAGCCTTGTATTAATTTGTAATAGATGTATGTTATTTTTTTCTTAAGTTTTTAAACTTATACGCAAAGCAAAAGTTGGAAAATATTCCTTTTTGTAAGAATTTTGATTATCGTAAGGTTGCCTCTATTGGCGAGCGAAGTTCACTGCTTATGTATGACTTTGACAGTCAAGTATGACGTTTGACAATTAATCATTGAATATTTCAATTTTCAGTTATCTATCAATTGTGAAAGTGAGTGCATGTAAAATGGCTGCAATAGAGGTTGAACCCATGAAAGTAAGTAATGTATTTTCAAATACGTTAATATCATCACGCACAATGTGCATTAACGATTGTTTCCCTGCCTCTTCTCATAATTAACTTTTGAATACCATTTATTTTTTGATAAGAGTGAGAGTCAACGCTTGGGCGTTCTCCATTGTTATTTCTCCTTAAAATCTGTCAGATTTCTTCGACTACATAGTACGATTATCATTAAATACAAACATCGATGTTTTAAATAAACAAATAACTTGCCATGCACATGCTTTATTAATGAGTCAACGGGATGTGAGTCGCGGAGTGTTTCAAGAACTTATTATTTTAGATTGAGACTGCAATGCGTACGCTCAAGTTGTCGGGGCACGTCGGTTTCGATAGCCTGCCGGACCAACTTGTAAACAAGAGTGTTCAAAATGGATTCGTCTTCAATATCCTATGTATCGGTAAGTGGGAAATGATTCATAACTATTACTTTGTAAACGACCATTATCAATTGCACTGTGCGTTAAGTTTACGTTACAAACCGATAATCGACAGTCAATTTATTTGTTTTAATTGATACAGGAAAATGTACCTATCTAGTATTGCTTCAATATAGTGCAGTATACTAATATCTTATGGCACAGGCTCCATTTTTATTCCTATTAGTTAAAAAACACAACTATTTCCAAAACAAATATTTATTATTGTTAGCTGTTTACTAAGAAAACTAGCGACTATAGCATAACCAAAGTACTTAATTTGTTACTGTAACATGTAATAACAATCATAATTAGCGGCTCAGTGATTCTGAACTAGATGTGTTGAACAGGTGAGACTGGCTTAGGCAAGTCAACACTAATGGACTCATTGTTCAACACCAATTTTGAGTCCAGCCCCAGTCCACACAATCTGCCTACAGTTAAGTTGAAGGCTCATACTTACGAGTTGCAGGAGAGCAGCGTGAGACTAAAGGTAAGCGCATCTGTTAAAAACCTGTGAAATTTCAAGGAAGGAAGACAGGTCTTATCAACCAAGCTTATATAACATATTATAGAGTAATCCTGCATAGGGCATGTAAACTTGCACTGACACAAAACAGAGACGTGAATCTTTATATGTAGAGATGTACATGATCAATTAGTGATACACACACAGCTGTGTAATTTATCTTCTTTGCCTAATTAAAAAATAATTTCTTAATAGTTAAATGTCAGATATCCTGCTCTGGGCTCAAGTTGTACTATTCACAAACACAGTTTGTCTAAAGTTTAGACTCTTTCATTGCACTACAAATTTTTAAACACTGTTTAACTATTTAAACAAGCCATTTTTGGAATTAACATGATATGTTGGTAACATATTATCTACCTACATAGAATATTAAATACTTTCTAGCTAACAATCTGCGACACAATTGGATATGGAGATCAGGTGAACAAGGAAGACAGTTTCAAAGCAGTGGTGGATTACATAGATGCTCAGTTTGAGGCATACCTGCAGGAGGAGCTTAAGATCAAGCGCTCCCTTCCCACATATCATGACAGCCGATTACATGTCTGTCTATATTTCATTTGTCCTACTGGTAAGTTAGTTACTATTTAGTAGCAAAACAAAAATTCAATAGTAATACATGTTGTTATGTACTGAATGAATTGATAATTATTTTCAAGTACTTATTTACTTACCTGTACCATACCAGTTTTAAAAAATTCAGTAACGCTCGTAACAGAAATAACTTACGTAACTTAGCTTGCATGATAAATTTATTACACGTAAATTCATAAGATATACAAACAAAGAAGTAGAGTTTAGTTCTTCCCTGTTTTGAAACTATAAAATATTTTTATTTATCTCGAAACTCTTAATATCTCAATGAATTGCCGCAGAAAATATGCCAAGCGTTTTAAACAAATGAAATATTAATAGCATGATTAACGACTGCTAAAGCAGGGTAGCGGAAATATATATATTCTATTAGGGCATCGTAAATGACCCAGTAGATTAATGTCCTTGACATTACTGACGCGATGTGTATTCAGTACGCGCGTGACACACTAGTACGGATTTGAATTTACTATCAGCAAAGTAACGGTTACTTTAACGTAGCCAAAGGTAGTGTGAACCTAAATCACGTATTTAGTACATCAAAATACTTTTTGAAACGGAGGCTTTTTACTTAAAAACTTCCATTTAAACTTTTTGGAAATTTAATAATCGGAAGATACTACTACTACCCTTGTCATTTTGTTTGTTACATGTGACTAGAATAAGAAATTAAAATCAGATGTCTGTGCCCGTCCCGACCGAAATAATTTGTTGTAGTGTCGCCGAAGTTTGAAACTAGACATCTTGTACTTAACGGATTACTAAGCAACCGAAACCGTCAATTTGTATAGATATTTTGTAATATGCGCCAAACTAAATGGAACTCATCTATCGTGAACTATTAATAGAATCTAGTCATTTTACTCAATTACTTTCCATCGTCAAACGTTGATGCAACATAACAACAACATACGGACAGAGCAATTTTAAAATTACTTCTTCCTTTGCTGCACATTAGTTAATTGAATTCAATAACATAGTTTTTTGCAATTGTTTAGTGTTTCTTTATCCAGTTACTGAATCAATGAGTTTGGTCTGCGAGGAGAAGAAACTGCATCAAATATGGGTTAAGCATTCTCCATTGACAAAATAATTTTGTCTGTTTCCAGGACATGGCCTGAAATCTATAGACTTAGTGTGCATGAAGAAATTGGACACAAAGGTTAACATCATTCCCATAATTGCAAAGGCAGACACCATATCAAAGACTGAATTGCAAAAGTTCAAGGTAATACATAAAATAATATTGTGTTTTACAATGGGTAGATATTTTTTACTCTTTCACTAACAAAATGAAATTATTTTGAAGGAATTTACTGTTAAAAGACTATAAAAAATAAAGTATGTGTCTAATTTATTTTTCAATTTTAGTATATATATGTATTTCCTTCCTAAGAAAAAATATTTTCATTTTTATAGAAAATTATAACTTTTATCCTAAAAAATAATTAGCACCCTACGGAATGAACGAGTTATTTTTCTCATCTCATGTTTTAATATATGTTGTCTTATACAATTTTCAGTCTAAAATAATGCAAGAATTGCAGTCAAACGGTGTAGAGATATACCAATTCCCGGTAGACGATGAGTCTGTCTCCGAGGTGAATACCTCTATGAACAGCCACATCCCGTTTGCGGTCGTCGGTAGCACAGACTTCGTTAAGATCGGCAATAAGACGGTGCGCGCACGCCAGTACCCGTGGGGCACCGTGCAAGGTAAAATTTTACTTAGCAATTCTAAGCTATGACGAAAATTACCAAATTTACATTGTTTAAATACTACACTGATAACTATTTGAAATTCACAATATATTAGTCGTTCACAATTTATTTTAACTTTTTTTTTATTTATCATATCGACAAAACAATGACATTTATTTATAACATATTTGCTCGTAAAGTGGTTGTAGTTACACCAATCTCAATATCGTAATGTATCGTACGTACTAGTGCGATAATGTAATGTAAAAGGCACGTGTTTTAAGATACTCCGTCTTAAAATGAACGATACTTTTAAAAATCTTAGCAAAGAGGTTTTATGTCAAGAAAGTGGTCAATATTTTATGAATAAAATTAACTTTGGGAAATAAAATATAACAAGTAAACATTTAATTTCTTAATTTAATTAATTTTGACAATAAATTACAACCTGTAAAAAAATCACAAAAATATTAATTTACAAAAAAATTTATAAAATATAACAAATAAACATTTAATTCTTTAATTTAATTAATTTTGACAATAAATTACAATCTGTAAAAAAACACAAAAATATTAATTTACTTTATTACTAATAATACTGGCTGTTTTTGTACCCTTACCTAAAAAAAAAGTTGATGCGCGCGCATCGCTTATTTGTGGACAAGTAAAAATAGTTCCGCGCGCTTTTTACTTTTATAACTGCTTTAACAATTAATTAAAGATTTATTCGTTTAAGTAAGTTAGAGCTTGATTAATTTCCTCGTAAATATGTTATAAAACGTCGTATGACATACGTGCGCTTTGAAAATTACAGCCTCTGCTTTCTTATAGCCCTCGCCGGTGGCTCGGGCTAGTAATATCGCCTCGGCTGTAATTTTTAACTTACCGCACTTATATCATAATGTACTATTACATACTGATAGCAATAAAAAACCACTAAGGTTTAAACTGATGCTATCTTGAGTTGACATAACATCTAATTAACTAAGTTTATTTAATAAATATACAAGATAACTATCTTACCAACTACGGCTTGAAGTTTCGAATGCTTCACAGTGGTACAAAATGAAGATGGAGGGAAGGTACCATTCTTGGAAAAAACCTGACTTTCATTTGGGAGGATTATTGGCAGGTCGAAACCAATGTAGTGATTTGGCCCACGTGACCACTGCTGCAAAGCATCTGAGACTTCGGCCGTAGTTGAAATAAATTGTAAACAAGTTAACTAATGTGAGTAACATGTTTTAATTATATGTCGTATATGTTTAGTGGAGAACGAGTCTCACTGCGACTTTGTGAAGCTACGCGAAATGCTGATCCGCACCAACATGGAGGATATGCGCGAGAAGACCCACGCGCGTCACTACGAGCTGTATCGGCGACGGCGCCTCGCTCAGATGGGCTTTAGCGACGTCGACGCACACAACAAGCCCGTACGTCCACATTCAAAGTGTTTTCTTAACTAGAGTATAACTCTTCGGATTAACGTTCTGACAAACGACTGACTGAAGGATAGAAAAAAAACAATCGTAAACGATATCATATTTCTGCATTTATTATAATGCATGTTTTATCACCCTTTTATTAACTCTGTGAAAATAAGAGAAGCTTTTAACAAAATTAAATTACATGTAATTTTAAATTATTATCTGTCTATTTATCAAAAAAACATTCTTATTCCTTTGCAGGTGTCATTCCAACAAACATTCGAGCAGAAACGGTCAGCACATCTTGCTGAGCTGCAGATGAAGGAAGACGAGATGCGGCAGATGTTTGTGCAGCGGGTCAAAGAGAAGGAGGCTGAACTCAAGGAGGCTGAGAAGGAGGTCAGTCAGTTATATGAATATTATTTAAAAAGTCCATTTTTTTTTTTTTTAATTTTTGTGAAGCAAGTATCACGATTTTCTTTTGTCATATGTAAACTAAAATAAACGTGGCTTTGTTCTAAATTTCTTTCCTTTGATATAACTTAACCTTTGTCAGCTTTGATACTTTTACGGGCTTGTATTGTATTATACTTGTATATGTCATACAAATAACACCAGACCACGCCAACAGTAATAAAATAATTCCTATATTTTCAGCTTCACGCAAAATTCGATAAACTGAAGAAGGATCACACGGAGGAGAAGAAGCGTCTGGAAGAACTCCGCAAGAAGATCGAGGATGACACGATCGAGTTCAACCGACGCAAGCAACAAACGGTGCACTCGCACCACACGCTCACACTGGGGAAAAGTAAGAAAAAGTGAGCCTTTGCCACTAGCAGCTGGCGATCCCTGAATTAGAAGTCTCTTTCACATTTTAATCGGGACAATTTGAATCCAGATTAATCTTTTCGTGTTTCCCTTTAGGCCCCAATCGATAGTGATGCTCCTCTAGTGTTAAAATTCCCCAAAAGGGTTAAATATAAACCGCACATCAAAATAAGTCCTAACCGATTCGCCAGTTCGCTATTGTGAATTCAACTGATTCTGCATAATAATTCTAGTTTTTCTAGATCAGCTTTTCTATTAAATAAACCAGGTAATTCAGAAAAATACTCACCGTATTTAGAGTTTCTAGATAATAAGGGTTTTTGTCCACACAAGGACTGCCAAATTACTCGAGCACTTAGCCATATTATGTCGAAGATTTTATACCAAATTATTTTATTTATATTATTCCAATAAGATAAGGTTTAATTTTAAGTTTTAAAGTGTTGTTCTCCGTAATGAAATGCATTTCTGTAACTTTTAACTTATTGTATTTTTTCGGAGTTCTTTAATGTGTATCGACCGATTTGTATTACAATTAAATGTAAATATATAATACGTGTTGAAAACTAAACTATATTTTCCCTCCAGAAGCACTGCACTTTATATGTCTCCATATTCAGTAGATTTCTGCGATGTAGTAGGTTTGCGCGTAATGAAACAACCAGTCGTGTTAAATAGTTTATTGAGCTTCGCTCGTGACTACGCCTAGTTAGTGACTAGATTATTATACATTTTAAAAACTAATTTTACTTTCATACTTTTTACTCATACGTTTTTGTATGGATGTGCTCTCTGGAGTTTTAATAAGCATTTATTCTTCATTCCGCTATGTTAGTATTGCTATAGTTTTGTATTATTTTATAGAAAGTAATAAAATGTATTGATATTAATGGTTTATCAATTAATTAACACAAGTAAGCGTGACTTTATACATACGCACACGAATACCATGATTTATCTTCCCCAGTCTCTGTTTGCTACCGTGATACAAACTTGGGACCCTCCACCATAATCACTTGCCAAAATGTATGGATTTATTTGTAGTTTCTGAAGGTAACATTTACACTAGAGATATGCTAAGAGGCTTAGGCAGGTAGTAGGCCACCGGCTTGAACATCTTGTTGTAATAGGTGTAGCGACGCTTGTGCGGTGTGACCGACGCACGTACTGGGACCTCCACTCTGACCGCTGGTATTGCTATAGCTTTTTTACACTGGTAGAAAAACAATAATTATATTTTATCTGTTTTTCATAAACTGTCGTCTATCGAAAGCAAGCACACGTTGCTGAGTATTGTTGTATCTAACATTTAATATCATCCATACGCTGTGTATATATAAGCTTTATGTCAAACTACAAAATAAAGAAATAATACAATACTTACCACTACTATCGATATAATGTGCCTCAAGTTGTGTAAAGGTGCTTTGTTGAGTGAATCTGGTTACTCCAACAATGTAAGTCTTGTGGATAAAGCCCACGTCTCGCTTTTAAAATCTTACATAAAATTCCCTTTATACCAAAGCGGTTTTTTTAACCATTAGAAAAAACAACGTTCAGGATATCAAAAAGTTTATTAAGACAAATTCGAATATGGTTGGCACAAAATTGCTTGACTGTGACTCGGCGTTACTGGTTCGAAATACATTTGCTTCAAATTGGTATCAGATACTTCTGATACCAATTCTACCACGGTCTACTGACCGTCCAGATTTGAGTAATATTGTCTTCAAAGCAGTAACACGTTTTTGTTCATCTACTTAAGCTCTCGAATAGTGTATAGTAAGCCTCGTAGGAGACAAGTTTAAAAGTTCTTATAATTCGTAAGATACGTCAAAATGGAAGAAACGGATTCGTATAAAATTTGTTAACTCTACTATCTAGTGCTTAATAGCTATCTATCTAGGTGCAAAAATATTACTATGGTCCGATATGAAAATATATTTAACTGTGGACTCCAACAATTTTGTACCATGTGAGGTCGGCGACTTAAAAGTGTCATACGATGGAAAAGCTTTGAACTATAGTTTAAATATAGCGCCAAAGCGATATCAATATATTATGTCGGCGTTAACATCCTTCGAAATTCAATGACATTATAATTAATAAATAAAATTACTTAAAATAATTATTGCAATTGGAAGTTTCAAACTAAAACAAAATTAATTATGACTAGTCTCCCGCGGCGGGAGCATCGTAATACTATGTAAAAACAGAGATTGCCTTTAATCGAGAGATCTAAAAATAACGTATAACAAACAGTTGCCAACTTAGTGACAATCGCGTTTCTACTACTACTGCTACTCTAGCGTGAAACTGTAAAATACCCCAAAACTTGTTTTTTTTTCAACCCTTTAATAAACACTGCGCTAATACTTAACGAGCTATAACACGTAATAAAACACGATCGATGCGCAACAACCGGCTAACAAAAGAGCGCAGTATAAATATTATCGTATAAAAACAGGTCTCGGGGTTGTTAAATGGAATGAGTCGCTAATAATAATTATCTCGGCGGCACTTCGCGCGGCGGAGGACTCCGGTATTTGGCTTTAATGTGCAAGTATGGCTTCTTCGGGGAAGACGTGTCCGCGATGCTGGCTTCTAACGATAGTCTAATGCTCTCCTCGATAGCGGCCTGCGTCAGCGGTGCGCCGGTCGCGGACAGGCTCTTCTTCAAGGGCTTGGGAAAGTCATTGGCGTTCGCGAGGCTCATGCTCCGAGTCTTCTTCCCGTATCCGTTGCCAAATAACTTCTTCGGTTCGTTGACCGGCGTAGAAGCGAGACTTTGGCTCCTCGTCTTTCTGGGAGTGTTGTCCGCCGAAGTCGCGACGCTGGCGCTTCGAGCCTTCGTCTGGTTTAATTTATCCGTGCCGCAGAACTTCTTGTCGTTTTGCAGCGCTAAGCTCATGCTGCGCGACTTCTTCGGAGTCGTAAAAGACTTTTTCTGGTCGACGGGTCGGTTGATCGGAGTGTTTGGAGTGCTGAAACTGGCCGGCGCAGATTGTTTTCTGCGAGCGTTAGGCTTTTGCTCGTTAAGTGGCAACGTCAAGGCGGAACGGTTTCGGGTCACTAGAGGTTTGATCGGTGTTGACGTGACTTTCCCGTTTCCAGCTTTGCCTTTCTGTTTATTCGTGGGCTCAATCGGTGATGTTTGGCCGCTGATTGAAGTCTTGCTGTGAGCCGGAGATATGCTGTTAATGGAAGACTCCTTGCTTAGTGAGTTCTTGCTGCTGGCTGGTGAGACGCTGCTGCGCGACGACATTTTCTCCATCCTGTTAGGTGATGGTGTCGCCCTATTGGTGAGCGGTGTCGGTGATGGACAGTCTTTGTTGGATGAAGGGTCTCTGGTTTTGTTGGTGGGTGAGGGTGTGGTTCTAGGCGTGATAGCGGGTGCGGGTGCGAGCGGCAGCAGATCGCGTCGGCCTTGCGTTACGAGGCGCACCTGGCACGGCTCGTGTCGCGAGAGGAAGTGCTCCAGGGTATCCCAGCCACCACCTACGCGCACCATCATGTGACGTCCTTTTAGTAACTGAAATGAAGTTTAACTCATTAGGTATATTTTTTTAAGAAGAAGAAGACAAGTTAAAATTACACTCAATGAACACAGTAGCTCAGTTGATAAGTTCGTCATCGGATCTACTCGTGACAGTGATCTTAATATTGTCAATCTTTGTAGAATACTTCATCAATTTATATACTATGTTGAAAAATATTACCCTAATGAAGACATTTCGACCGGCGATGTTGTAGCGTCCCTCTCCCACCTTCTTCACCTTCAACAGCCGGGAACACTTGCCTGAACCGCAGCTGCACCCACGCTCGAGCAGACGGGTTATGGACTGCACCTGTAAAATATTAATAGATTAGCAATGGAAAGGAAATAAGAGTCAAATATGAACTTTATTTGGGATTGTTATCTTATAAGAGATATCTCACTCTTTTGTCGAGCTCGTTAGTGGGACGCAGGGGCACGTCCGTGTCTGAGTCGGAACTGTCGGAGCGGATGCTCGCCACTTCCACGCTGTCTGCCACGCACACTTCATCTGAAATCAAACGTTTTAAATATCAACAACTCTTTAGAAGGAAATAGCCCAAACCTAGCAAGGCCAAATCTGGGTAAAATTTATTAGCGTTTTTACTACCTGCTTTAGCAAATAATGATCTATTCATCTTATGTTATAGGATTTTATTAATAATGGGTAAAAAAATAATACTTCTTAGTTTTGTGTTTCCATCGCCTGACACTTTGAATAAATAAGCGGATAAATAGTGGTTTATATGTATGGTATGAAATGCTAACAGAAGAACGCAGTATTCGAATGTATTGGGGAAACACTAAAAAAAAAGTAAAAGCCAATTTCATACAAATGCCGATTGGAATTGAATTTAAACATAAACAATTTATTATTATTATTTAACTATATTTCGCTAGAGCCGAAAACAAGTATATTATTGCACTAGACAAAATTTTCTATTAGGAAGTAAATTATTTTCGGTATATTTGTTAAATCTACCCTTAAACGGTACCCTTGTTGAATCTTCAGGTGAAATGCAACTAACTATAAGGAAGGATTTAGCTCAATCAACTACTATGCTACGAGTGGTAGTAGCCAGATACAGGGAAACTTCTTTATGGAAGACCCTTACTTGGTACACGAGAAATCCGATTAAATTCCAAAAACACAAGTAGACAAAACGTATTAGTGAAATGTACCCGTAGCTGTTGTCTGCAAGGGTGAACAAAATTTCTTGAAGTATAGACACTGAAATGTAATTGTAATCTTACGAACTAAGTAGTTTTTCGCCGAACAAGACGATACTTATTTTACTTGGGCGAACGTGTACTTATTATAAGAAAAATTGGAGAAGGTTACTCACTCTCATTCGGTTCCGTATTTGAGGGCTGTTTAACGTCTTTATTGCGCCTGTAAAGAACAAAGTTTTTATATTGCTTTTTATTAAACTAAGTCGAAGGTTATGTTAGGATAGTTATTTCGGAAGTGCGTAATGGTTAACTGAACATCGAAATGTTTTCAACTCGCGTTTTCAACAGATATTAAGTTGGTACATTCAAATGCAATACTTTTTATTGCCCTTTAAAAAAGATATTTAACTACAAAATTATGAAACTTACAACTACTTTATTAAATATTAAAGTCAATAATAGACATATAATCCAATAGATAAGGGTGGTAATCGATACCAGTCTCGGCTGGGCTGGTTTTTTAGACCGGCCCGGGTTAGTAACATACTCCTTATGATTTACAACGTCGCTAATCGTTTTACATTCAAGCTACATTAACAATTCTTTAGCGATAGACGTCTGTCAAAGAAGTTGCTCCATCAAATAGCGAACTTACTTTTCGAGAGGTGGGGAGACATCTCTGAATTGCCAAGCGGCTCCAGACATGGCCGAATCAAGTCCCGAATCCCTTTCCTCTAACGCGATTTCTTTCTCCAAAGCGACCAATCCTGGCGGCTCCACATTGAATTTTGTGGCTAGTCGGGCTACCTCTAGTAGGCATAGGATCACTTGTCGTGGCTGGTTGTGCAGAACTGTGATATAGAAGTAATAAGAATTATTAATAAGACAACAGTAGCAGCCGTTAATACCCAGTTTTAGTCATACTGACAGGAGGATGTCACCATGTAAGGGTATGGTCTATTTACTAATATGCATGGCCAGCATGAAAAAAGTCAAGGCTTCAGCTTAAGTTTAGTGAACTTAAATAATGTTTGGGAAGTACCTACTTCCGTATAATACACTTACCAAGATCATCACTTTCGAAGAGCAAATTCTCATGAACACCTAATTCCCTGCAGAACGTTATAAAATTCTCAGCATTGTCTCGCGAGAAGAAGCTACGTCTGGCCGCTCGTTGCCAACATCTTCCCTTTATTGCGGGGACCGGCTATAAAGGCATAACATGAATATATTTAAAATAAATTTCATGCAGATAGCTAGAACACTTATGAACGTCGAAACAGTCTTTACACAAACGATTTAAACTTATTTATTAACACTGATTGTACTTCACTAGGGATTTCATTAAAATACTTTGAAAAGAATTACTTGTTTTATGGAGCCTTTTGGTCGGACACTTGTTTTATCCTTATTGCGTGTTCTATATATTGATGACAACTGCCACAACTCATTTGTTTTAAAATTGTGTACTTGTCCGGGCAAACATATTATTAAAGATAAAACCTTATTAAAAATAGTTGTAATATAAATAGAATGGTATGCTTACCCCCACGATAATTCCCTGATCCAGTGCTTCTCTAGCTCTGTCGTGAATGACCGCTGCGAGTTGGCACAATTCTGCGCCATTGTCTAGGACATCCAGAAAGTTCTCGCCAGTAAGGTATGTTATACCTGAAACAATTTATTCGAGTTAAATGAAGGTCGGTCGCGATTCACCGAGTCACCGTGATATTGGTGGTACTCGCGCTGCATCAGCGTGATAGGTTTTAAGACCCTTTCCGTATACCAGAGGAGATCAGTGTTCACCAGTCAGTCAAGGAATTTCACTAGAATACCAATAAAGGTACTATACTAGGTATTACCATCATATCGTTTAAAATCAGTTACTCAATTTTTTCCGAGTTTACGTTATTTTGTTTTGTTTACTATCACCGTAATAGTCCAGTTAACATAAACATAAGCCCGTTACATAACTGCGCCTCATCGGCATCATCGGCACGCGACGTGACGCGCCGCTGCCCTTACGCCGGGAGCGTAAATCCTCTTTTTGCTTGTTAGCCAGTAATTATAGAGTTTAGCGATTAATTGGCACTATAGCTGTTAAGTGCCGCCTCAATCGATTCGTCAAATCCCGCATATCGCTTATTTTATGCAGTGGAGAAAATATTTTCATAGAATATGTTAAAGCTAGAAGCAAAGCCTTATATTAACCGTTATTATAAGTTGTTGGAGCAATTCAAAGAATAAATGTCTTTATTTCAATCAACAAACATATTTAGCATTTGTTGCACTTTCTCCAGTATGTATATTTACTCGTGTTTTCTTTTCGTCCGGTGTATTATACCGGCAGTGACATAACCCCTCATACAAAAAGCATCGCCTGTACGAATCAGCCGTGCTCCTAATGTAATAACAGGTCTAACTGGTGTACGAGTTTCAATAAGGAACTGTCGACGATAATAAGTACAGGAGCAAAAAACTAATAGCAATAAATTGGGTTTATAAATTGGTTCGAAGTACAAAGCGATGGAGGTATTGATAATGACAAACTAGTGGAAGCGATTTTTTTATGTACATATATAAAATAAAAGCTTACAATTATGAAAGTATGTGTTTTAAGGAGTAAGTAGTTATTCTACTCAGGTATACAAAGTACCAGTTTACTATTTGGCCAATAAAGCTATCGTATCCAAAAATGCTATAGTACTAATCGTTTTTGTTTTCTTAAACTGTAGGGCAATGCAAAATATATCTCTAACAAAACTTATTTGTATCTTCACCTATATTAAATACGTGTGTCCTTTTTTAAGCTGCTTTAGTATTATTATAACATTTATGTCTAGCTTGAGCTTCCACAAGCACAGGCGAAAATAATAAATACCTTGAACACTTCCTGCTCAGCGAGGGATGGTACAGAATCTATTAACACACGCTGAGCCCAAGTTCTGCTCATGAATATTTGATTGCGATATTGTAAGTCGATATTATCTTTATAACTTGAAGTAAATTCTGAAAAGGGCAAGGAATTCGAGTGCATCGCTCAATGATTTTATTGCGCCTTTCTGTTTATACTTGTTTTGTCCTTTCAAAATTAGCTTTATTTGTGATACATTATGTTCATATAAGATAAGCGTATGTTAGTCCTGATGCAGAGAACCACATTTTTTTGTCAAAACATTGCGCGAATATAAAATGTTGGCATTTTCGTAAAACTTTGAAAGGGTACAAAATGTCTATTATTTTTAGCGAAACCATTTCAATATTTTGACAACTCTAAATTTACAACCCTTTGAGGCATAAGAATAAGAGGCAACGCCGAAAACCTTGCTATCTGTCGTAGCTTATAGTGCAGCAATGAAAGTACAAGTTCTTGACCGGTCCTACTTGAAGCTTTTTTGTAAACAATAATTAGCCCGGCCCGCGACGCCGGATTGCGTAATAAAGACAAAAATTTATGAACAAAAATCATTGTGTTGCCCTTGTATTGGACAAGGGCAAATTATTAAGGCTTTGGCATTTTAGAAATGAGTACTTGACTTACATATTACATAATTTAATATGATACACAATTTATGCGTATTTACTAAAATATAGAACAGGACAAGGTCTTTATGTCATTGCAAAGTCTGAAATACTAATATTATGTAAATATTAAACTCGCACAAACTATGAAGTGTATGCAAATTACATGGATCGAAAACCATAACAGAGCGGATATGCTAAAGTGGAAAACATCCGGCCCTAGGTAACGGAACGCAGAATATAACAATATTTACACTTTAAAGCACGAAGGACTTACGATTAAATCGCAAGACCTAATAATTCGGTTTTAATGGGTCATGGGGCAGCGGTTTTTCGTGTCTGGCGAACTGATTAATTTTGTTTGCCAAATAGACATAGAGATAGGACCGTGTGGCCGTTGCGAGCGAATGGTATTGTTGTAAATAACACTATTTTTATAAATTAGGATGGTTATGGATTGAAAATTGGACGATCATTTGTGGAACACATGCGATTGGTACCTACACCGGTGCTTATACAAAAAGATAGTGCCATGTCTTCGATGTTTTTCAATAATTAATTGTATATACAAATGATCAGTACCAAAATATTTGTTTGCATAATGTCAATCACCTAGCAATTATGGCTGATGACGAAAACCTGACCTAGTTAAGATTGTGCTAAATAAGCGCTGTCACTGCGCATGAAATCATGTCTCCGTTAGAAGCAATATTTCACACAAACTATATTGTTTAACTGGAGCAATGAAGCGTTTAATTAGAACTGCGCGGTGTATCATGTTCAGTTGCCGTCAGCGTAAGATGATACGACAACCTCAAAACTGTTACAAAACGTTACGATCACAACGGAGTAACGGACGTCGTTCTCCAATCGATATGGTACATGTACACGGTGGACGCCCGTTACTTTATACGACGGAAATGTAAGTTATCCCAGACGAACCTATACTAATAGCTTCTCATAAATGTAACTCCTAGGTTAAGCGACTTATTATTTTTATGTATAGAATCATTAGTAAATAAAATCCTAGCGCTTAAAGGAACTTCGTGGAAAGTTTGTATCAAATAGCAACATCCACGAAGTTCCTACCATTTTCATGTATAATTTCTCAACAAAATATAGAACCAAAGAAAAAAAAAAGTCTTATAAAGCTGAAGAGTTTGTTTGTTTGTTTGAACGCTCTAATCTCTGAAACTAGCTAGTTGGAATCGAAAAATAAAGTGTGTTGGTTGGACCATTTATCAAGGAAGGCTTTATCTAGGCTATGACAAACATCAAGCATCAAACATCTGCGACCAAGCGCAGCGAAGAAACAGACAGAAAAATCATGAAAATTATTCCAAAACGATTTAAGAAACCAAAAAACGATGTATGAAAAAATAAATCTTCTTTATATGATCTTAAAAATCCACGACGGTATATCTTGTAAGATAAACTCGCTAGCAACGGAACGGGACGCAGATGTCGTGGCTAAAGCTATGTTTAATATAATACACGGTCTTATAAAAGAATTGGATGCAATTTTCCTACTTGTCGCGCAGTGTACGATAAGCCCAGGTAACGTACGCTACTACTATGACGAGAATTCCGACATATTTTTCTTAATATTTGTCTCTGCACTGCAGACTTGGTGTTTCTACGGTTATTCTTTAAAGACATATTTTTTAATCAGTATTATTTAACGTAAAAAAATCTTGCAAGATCAGTAATTGACGGTAGACAACTTGCTACAAAACATTGACATAAAGAACTCATTCATCCATTGCTCCCACGCTGAATTTGTACTTTGTGTTGTAATGTGTGTGTGTTAGTGATACTATAAGCTATAAGCAGATAATACGGCTAATTTAAGATTACATACGAACTCACATAAATATTATGGAGGTATATAGAAGGATCCGGAAATTTATATCATTTCTATTTTACAGGACTAGGACCTAAAACTTTTTACGCTCAACGTGAAAATTTGCAAAAACTTTATATGTAGGTATATGTTCCACTGAATGACACTTGTTGATAGTTTAATTTGCAATGTCTTTGTGTTCCCACGTTTATCGAAACGAAACACAAAAACTGAAGCGAATATAGAACAGTGACATAATCAACACATGACTTTTAACATAAAATTAACGAGTCTGCCTACTATACTTAGTTCAAACTGAATTTGTTAGACAATGTAAACAAACATTAATAACTTACATTACCACTTAAAATCGCACGCAAATTACTTGCTGTCACTGTTATAATTTCACTTTTTTATATTTTAGTCTTAGTTTTAATATCTGAAAATGAAAAACATAACTGTCAATGTCATACTGCCATCAACATAATCTGTGGAAAGACCGTGTTGTAGTAATTGTAGTATAAGTACACTAATAAATAATCGATGTATACTAAACATTTTGTGAAAATCAATAATCGATACATATCATAATCGTTAAATAAAATGATAATGTAAAAAAGTTAAATAAAATAAATAAATACATTATATTCAGAAAGAATTGAAATACCAAAAAGTCATCACGTTTTACTGTGACTATGTGGAAGAGGGGGGGGTAGAAATTATGTCTGGTCAAAATAATGAATACTTGTAAAATCATAATGTTTTTATGATATGACATAATCGGCATGAATATCGCTACACCAAAAATTACATGACTCCTTTGTTTACCTTTACTAAAAATCCATTTGAAACGGAGTGTACGTACCAGATGCTCGTGTTTTTTAATGTACCTACCCGTTACATCATTCCACAGTCGGTTTGTTGCTCAGGAATACATGCATCTTAATAATTAGATTTTCACTCGATGTTTGATATAATTTATATTTTAAAATTCGTATTAAAGAAAGGTAACAATTTTAAATGATGCAATACATCTCAGTAGGAAGTATTTCTACTTTGAAGTCGATTAAAAACCGTAAAAGGAAACAGGCGGAGCGTCGGTTCTCTCTTATTTTTAATTGAGCCTCGGTCTAGTTCGGTGAAGATGGCAGGCAGCAGGCACAGAGCGTGGAGAACGCGTTGGCTCCGGCACACATTTGCGTACAGGATGAAAGCGTAGAAAAGCGAGCCGAGTCTCACTTTTATTTCCGTTGCTAATTACGTACCTACTAAGATTTCAGAGAAGTACAGACTTTTCAGGCGCTTACACAATAACATCGTAACTTCAGCGGGCATATCATATTCTCAGTTCTAGATTCTAGGACATGCCTTTTGTCGTGACAAAGATAAATACTTTGATATACAATTAAAACAAATCCTCACCAATTGTCTTATTTATCCAATCTGCCAAGTCTTCCTGCAAGGGAAACAGCTGTCTCGCCTGCGAATAGAGGATCTTCTCCTTGTAAAACTCTTCATCTTCCGAGCACGGTGTCTGGGCGGCCAGCGCGCAGTCCGCCCTTTCGAAACTACTGGACAGCTTCCTGTTAACCACTACGTCGGTAGAAGCTGTGTGTCTAAACATAAAAGAAACAAAAAATTTATTTTAGGAATACGTAAACAAATTAAGTCTTCGGGAAGTTTTGGATATATCTTGAAAATAGTGTCAATCATTTATATTGAACTTGATCGAATGATTATACGACTAATCAGTTAATATACCTATTCAACATTGAAATATTAAATAACTGCAAAACATTCATTTTGATCGCGGACTGCGGTGCGCCGCACCCGTTTGGCTGCATTACAGCAACGATGGTCACGGCTGTTGCAGCCCTAATGACTTAATCCACAATAATATACTGGATAGTACCAACTTTAAATTATTGTAAAATCCGTATTTATTATTACGCAACATTACAGAGTTGCCTGAAAAGGCGATTAAATCGCATTTCCCAGTCCATTCGCTCATTCATTATGAAGTTTTCAATCAATGTAAATTGTTCGATTATCAAAGCCGATGACGTTATTTTTTTATCTTAGTAACCTTTGCTTACCTTTCCTCTTTCCCCTCAAAAGTGCTCTTGACATACTCGAACGCGTTGGTCCTTTCGAAGGCATTGAAGATCCTGTCATAGTTGCCACTGAGAGGTCGGTCGAAGCTCTTGTCGGGGCTGGTCACCGACCAAGATGCCCGGTTACCGATAGCTGTGGGCCCACAACGATAGAACGCCATCTTTGTTTAGGCATCTGAAACAATTAAATTAAGTTATAACTACTTTAATAAGTTTTCTGGATCTTGGAAGTTATTGATTTTAGTGGCGAAAATAAAACACAGTTTATTAGTTACTTTTAATATTTCAATTGCATGTGTACGAGAAAGTGACTGCAACAAATAAAGAAAAGTATTTAGATAGAATATTTTAGGCGGCTGGGTTGATAAGAGAGCCATATATAACTTGGAGGTTGTTTAGTTTTTATAATAAATATAAAAGCTGTAATGCAAATAAATAATTTGATTAACCTTATTTTTAATTAACGCTAATTTACGATTGTACATAAATTGATTAAGGATTACCTTTGATTCTTCTTTATTTTATTTATTTTTTATTTAGAGAAGCATTGCTCAATTAGTAGCCAAGTAATAAAATAGCCGTCGTGACACATGTAAGTTTTAACTTAATTTCCTAGTGTTTTACAATATTCTGAGATTTGTAATTACTGGTTAATTAACTGCTTAATAACCTATAGCTGAACACGTAAAAGATCCTTGAGAAGATTCGTCGAGACTAATTAGCATGTCACAAGGACCGTAACTAAAGCGTTCAAAAAAACTAATGAAGTTTAATTTAGCCGAAGGTTTCCTGATGAGTCGTAATTAAAAACACAAAGCGAAACATTTGACTGACAACCAGTGCTTAACGTTAGCCATCGAGTAAGGCTTTATTTAAGAGGATAAAAAGTTATTGTGGACAAAACAAACAAGTATTTTCAGCCAGTATTGACCAATAGAACAGTATCTAATTTAAAAGACGAAAAGTACAGTACACATCTATCAATACAGGAGTAATCTGTAGTTTACGAGAATACCTGGGAGTTGGTAGTTTAAGTCTTAATTCAAACTATTAAAAAGAGTTTTTTATTTCACACACTCAGTGCAGCTGATGAGGTACAGGCTCCGAATCCCGTATTTCGATTTCGTAACTACACCCTCAACAACAATTAATATTATTAATTATTAATTGTTTCGTTAAAAACTATAGTAATATCTGTTATCGATCATATGATTCCATTTAAGGCAGGACCTTGAAGCTTGCAAAAACGCGGTGAGATCTGAGAAGTAAACAGTCCAAATGCGGCAAGAACGTGATGAGATACCGACACTTTGTTTTACCGCCTTTTCTAAAAAAGTGTATAAAAAAATCGACGTAGGTACCTATTAAATCACAATGTTTAGATCTGAAAGCGGCCCAAGCTTATATACTTACAATGACATTAGTCCGTAAAGCATCTTCACAATATATTATTATATACTTATAACTAGTTTCAACAGAAAATTGTAGTTTATACGGAGGCTTCACAGGGCCATAAATCACGGAAGTTTTCTGGGGTTCCTTGGTATATACAATTTGATTTATAGTCCTTCTTTTTTCTTCGTTTAACGATAATAGATCACTTAAAGTGAAATCCCCTTTACCCCTTTGGGCTATGAGGCATTTTTGCGTCGGTTTCATTGATCGATTTTGTTTACGATTTTGTTAATGATCAAAGAATAAAAGAGGTCTTTCTACAAGATCTCTTTTTCGATTATAAATAACTCGATACGCAATATGTAGATAAATACGTACAGAATCCCAAAAAGGTAAGACGTTTCAATCATAGCTGATTAACATAGTCGAATGCGTGATCCTCGTTTTCGTGATAAAAAAACAACGTATAAGTTACTGCTCGAATGAATAATGAATTAGGAAGCGCACCTTATAACTTTTTTACGTATTTACAATCGTCAGTCGTGAGTTCGTAACTCGTAACTGCAGAATGGTACATAAAGGAAAAATACCTGATAAATGACAAAAGAACTGATACCGCTTCTTTGTATTGCTTTAGGACAGTCAAGAAGTAAAATCAATATATTACATTACAAAACCCACAGGTACTGACTAGTTTTAGCTTTCTTTCTTATGCATTTTGTGTTGTGAAAATGTTTTTCACCTATTAAGCTGCCAAATTAAAAAAAAATATTTTTTTCTACATAATGTATCACTATCCATATAGGGTGTATTAGTGTGATACAACACTAGGGGTTTGGAAAAAAGTAATTCGTTTAACGTGTTTCGAGTAAACATGAACTGTAGATCTATAACTGATTCTACAATCAATAACAAAATTGCAAATAACGATACTAAGATACAACACGCGACGGTACCATCCGGGGACGATACTCACAAAAATTGAGTTTTCCGCAATATTCGTCCCAAATGTAATTTCCCCTACACACGAAAGGAGCAGCGGCGTGCTCTCGGTAAACATGAATATCCTTGTGTTCTGATTCCTCACCCACTTAGTGTCAATGTTACTAGTGTAGTACTAGTATACTCCAAATCCTACGCGCTCAGCTAATAGCCTCGATACCTTGCCAGCTGGTAATAAGGGCCAGAATCCCTAAGTTTGGGCCCTTGGGCCCGCCCACGAGAACCTACGAATAGGTCAAGTTGAGTAGGCCTTAACTTGGACTCTGTTTACGAATTTGTCATCGTTTTACTTAGAATGTTTTAACAACAATTTTATCAATTAACGTACAATTTAACAGAATCAATAGGAATTAGAGATATATTTCGTTCCATACAAATGGTATTATTTCTTCCTGTTTCGCAACATGCGATGTCAACTCGCAATAGGGTTGTCAACACAATCAACATCAACACAACAGCGAGCCTTAATTAATTACGAAAATCGAATTGAATAATCTTCCACTTCTTATCATTTAGGAATAGCTCCTAAAACTCAAAATAGTTTTAAATTATTATTGTAGCGTCTATATCATATTTCAAGACAGTGGGTCCCAGTTAATCTCAGTTTGGTTTAGCCACAAAACGATCTAACTTTTACCGTTAACTTGCCTATAAATAAATCGATCGATGATAAGTAAAAAGAAAGTGCCCTACCCGCCGCCATCTAGGGGAAATGAAACTTCACCTATGTACTTCAGACGTGATAAAAACATTTTGCGTATTCTTCTTACGTACATATACCTACTGTGTTTAGTATCCGAAATGTAAGGGGTCGTAAGCACCTCGTCGACGTGGGAGAATGTTTTTATGTCAACCCTAGCGCAGGACAATAGCAACTCGGTGCGTTGCACTCGGCACTCCTTAATTGGATAATCGAACCGGGTCCTGCGGCTTCACTGCACTAGGATTGGTCGAGAAAGCGAGCACCAGTGTTATATTGTTGCTATCATACTTGTCCTACCCTACGCACCTCGTCGCAACGCAGAAAAGCAAAAATAAATATATCTTCAATGACGGCTTTTGAATATTTTATTTATGCCGACCCCAATAAAAAATACAAGATAATAAATAACCTACTTCTAATCAAACCACGTTAAGAAAATAACAGGCGGAAAATGAAAAGGCTCCTTAACGATTAGCCATATATTAGATGCATTTTTTAAAACTTAATGCGATGATTCAAGAACATTAAAAACACTAGGCAATGCCTAAAGTTGTTATTTCAAGTGACTTCTTTGGAAATCTCATACTGACAAGTAGAAACCGGATCCCGCTTTTAATTAAAAAATATCCCACAGACTTAATTCGCCAAGGAGCAATAAATTGAAAATGATTTAATAACACCCCGATGGGGTCGACATTTTATAATTGAAATAAATTGCATTTAAACGACAACAATTGTACGCCCAATTATGTTGTCAATAAATCAATGAGGGAAACGTGTTCCCGTTCGCTACTGAAATAGCGCCGAGTTTAAGCCAATCTCGATTCCCGGAACGGAAATTCCTGGAACAGGAACTAGTGTTAGTTTACAGTACCGGTGTTTGAACTGCGGTTTGGACTGTTGGCAACCACAGAACAGCCCTCTGCACCGCAAGTATTGTTACTTTCATTACTTGTATCATATTAACGCTGTTGATTTGTCCGCTTAGTAATACTGCTTTTAAATAAAAATGAGAGATGCTTGAGGTTTACCAGCGTTTTCTAAAGCATAGCCAGTTTGCGCGAGTAATTATAACATATTTAAAAGGTGTTTTTATTACTTTTAACGGTTTGAAACGCATAACATTTCTAACGACGATCCAATACTTTCGAAAGCTGCAGCAGTCGTGGTTTATTTAAAGCGTTTGTTTTTTATCAAAAGTCTTTTTTTTTTGTCTAGAGTGATGTAAAATTTGCTTGGTTTGGATAAATATGCTTCAGAAGCAAATGAATTTTAGTTCGATAAGGTCAAAACCTAGTTATTTTGCCATTTAAAATGTGCAGACTATGCTATGAGTCATTTGTAAGATATGTAGATTGTAGACCCTTTCTTCGCATTGTACTACATCGATAATTATGATTATTGGTTGTTTATCTTCTCAATACACACATCCTATATGGGAGAAAAAAGGTTGACCTCTCTATTTAAGACTATTTTGTTTAAATTGGTACAGAAGAACCAGTAATAAATATACTAAGTGTTAAATATTCTAGTTATTCCGCTAACGTCTTAGCATACAAAAGTAAATTCATTGATAAACACGCCGCACTGTCTGTTGGTGCAACGTTGCACCATGCCTACTCGTAGTGTTTTAAACATGTGTTAAAATGCACTAAACATTGACGGAAGCTTTGCGTTACAGCTTGTTTATTGATATTACGAGAAAGTTCTGTGTACATTATCCCTAAAATAGAATTTATTCCGCGCAGTATGGGGCCAATTTTAATTTTAGTTGTGCTCCGTTACCCAATTGTGGTGTCCGTTTTATAGCTTAGAGTTCGATTACACTCATCATAGATACTGCGGTTCTATGTATATCTGTATATTTTTATATGAATGATTTTTGTTGCGATTTTGTTATTCCTACGTAAGGTATAAAATCATGCCTGTACCCGGTTCCCGATTTTATACCCTACCCGTCTAAAAATGTCTAATATTTCCCCGGGAATCATAGCGTGGACTTCTATACCGGCCGTTTTGTCACATGAGCCACGAGGGTGACTAATATGATATATTGCTACC